TGCGCCTGCTTTGGAGGACACAATGTTTCCCTCTTTGCACAAAGGACTGAGGATACCTTTCAAATGAAGAGTTGAGTGTAAAAGCTAGACAACACTTGGGGCACATACATTTGGTACACCCGAGCTCACATTCACAACTTTCGATAGCAGCCCGGGCCCTGTGCAATATGTCTGACACTACGGAGTACTTGAGTAATGGGGATCAATCTGGAAACACTTGCATACCATGCTCAAAGGCCTTCGCTGCAACGCCGCTTCCGTGCCCTACTGGATCGTACATGATCAACCTCGCTGGCCGTTTTCGGCGAGATTCTTTCTTGAAATACTCCTTTTCTTCAGCTTTGCACTCCGTGCGAACATCTGATGCTAGAGGGAACCGATTTAGAAAGGCATGTTCAGCAGAATGTATGGCGGCGGCCGGCTTGATATGTTTGTCGCGCAACAACTGTAAGACGAGATCTGGAACGTCTATCCACAGTCCAACTGTCTCATGAATCCAAGGACTCGACTCGACGTCGACGACGTCTAAGATGACATTGTGCCTACAAATATTCTCAATCGATTCCTAGTCATGTAAGGGATATAAATTGACTCACCGCATTTTGTAAAAGCCTTGAAAAAAAAACAGATCAGCAAAACCTGGCAAAAGGACTGGAAGCCTACCGAAAACTTGACAAAAAATTTCCACAGCTGCGTCGAAAAGTTCAGTGGTTATCAATACAGAGGGGTGAAGTGCTCACGTCCGTAATAGGCACGATGCGGCGTACCTTTGATTTCCCGAATGCGATACGTCTGTAAAGCATTCACGTCTCTAAATCAGCATTAGCCGTACTATATCATGTTTTGTTGAGAGGCAAAGGTCATACGTGAAATCTCTGTATCAAAGTTTTGAGTATTTCCGCGAACAGTCAACTAGACGTACAACTGGCCTTTGTTTTGTGATCCAATTAACGTCGGCTTGAACCAACTTCACCAACTTGGTATCATGGTGAAGTTCCTGGACCTACGCACCTACCTTAAGTGAAGATGCTCATTCAATTTGGTAGACAATCACACTCACAATAAAAGGTCGTCCTTGATGTATGAACTGTCAATTTGGAAATAGTGTGCTCGGTAAAAGTCTCTATGGGACGACGACGACGTACCACGCCTCCTTCATAAACTTCAAAGATGGCTCGAGAGATCTCAATTTCTTCTAAGATCTTCGCGGATGCCACTGACTTCGTAACGTCCACCAGCACGTATTTGTCCTCTTGAACGCCGCCTAGACAAGACACAACTGAGAACAGTCATCGCATTCATGATGCTCAGACATACGAATGGAAATATGTTTTGAAGGAGACGGCAAGTACTTGTTATGAGGGTGATACCTGAAATCCCCCTATAAGCATCTCGCAACATCATTCAATGATATATTACCATCCATCCTCATCCTTGTGGAGTTTGACTTGGCAGATGTTCTTGAACAAGGGGCCAAAATATCTTTCGTCTTCGAGGCATACTGGCATTTCATGAGCGGCGCATTGGAGATGAGCTACAAATCGAATTAGAGACAAGAGAAGAATATCACTGAAATACTACATACATACCTTCTAGAATGATTTTGTTGTCCAGGTCGATTATTAAATCGTCCGTATCTTTGTCGAATAATTCATTTGGATTGTTCAGGTAATACTGATCTATTGGAAGTCCTTCCGCAATGAAAACGGCGAGGGAGTCACGCTTGCGTCGACCGGCTCTCCCTGCTTGTTGTCGCTACATAGTGTACACTATGTCGTAGATTGGTGTTGGGCACAAGCGGAGAGACTCACAAAACTCGCAAGAGTGACAGGGAATCCCAGCATGAGTACGGCATCTAGTACGCCAATATCCACACCTAACTCGAGTGCGTTGGTCGCGATGATCCCGAGGAGGTGACCGGTAAAAGCGTCGTGTTCTATCCGCCTTCGGTCCTACAGTATTGTTCTAAGACAATATTCAAAAGGGAGCACAAGAGATCTACCTCCGCAGAGTATCCTAGGTAAATGACACGACAATCATAAGCACTACAATAAGCGTAAAGCGGTACAAAAAAGAACGCTGACCTCCTCGATAGGCTTGAACTCTTTCCAATATATCATGGCGTCCTTCACTGCTAAGCTCAGTCCGAAGGGTCTTCATAGCCTATAGATTCATGTTGGGGTTTTTCCTTAATCTTGCAAGCATACAACTCACTAACTCGCACACTTTCCGAATCTGTTAGATCAAGTTATCGTTTTAGCGCTCAGTTTGAACAAGCGCCGAAAGAACATGCACACCTTACAAAACAATATCACCCGAATCCCCCGTTTTATAAGGAATCTCATCAAAGCAGTAGCCTCGGCTATGCTGCTCTGTCTTCCGAGAGCCGGATCATGCTCATCCACGTACGGGCTACGCCAGATCAAATATTCCTTCAGACCGGTGGGTGCGCCGTCTTCGGTAATGACTTGGATTCCAGAAGGGTGGAGGCCGAAGATGTTCACCATGTGAGCGAGGGGGTTAGCGATGGTTGCACTACATGAGACGAAACGTGTGTGGTCGTCTGTTTGTTATGCAGAGTCCGTAAGAGGAAACAGGACGTTGCATGCATGGATGTACGTACTTCCGATGGCGGCACAAACCCTGCGGAAGCGGCGCATAATCAGAGCGACATGGCTATAACAAGTCAATATATGATGAGCTATCGAGTAAAATGTGCATACCGTACCTTCCGAAAGTTCCCGAGTAGTAATGCAGTTCATCCGCGACAAAGAGCTGTGAGGATCGAATTGGTGAGTTTTATGGACAGTCAGAAGAAATTCGAAACCGACTTTGAGGTTCTTCAAAAAACTGATCGTAGAATCAAGCATTAAAATGCATATTGAAGAAGTTGAGAGTGATGGAATACCTTCTCCATAATTCTTCATGTGGTAGAATGGCAGCGTGGATCATATCCTTTCACTTCAAATTAGCCTCCAATCGATGAATTCAAGCAAGTTCTCAACATACAAAATTTGTGAATATCACCGAAGCCGAGGCACGTATTCCTAAAAAGCACCAGTGCCAAACTAGTGAGAGATCTTGTTATTAGAAGCGAGCAAAAATCACAACCTGCTCTGTGTTCAGTGGGAGTGTCTCCGTCATATGTGGATACCTGAAGTCATGGATTGTCGGTCACAGAGGTTTGTCGATCATGTAAGAGATCTGCGCCAACCTTTATATGCTCTAAACCGGGGCAATTCGCCAAAAGGTTTTCCAGTGCGGTTTTCTGGTCTTGAGCGAGTGCCTGCGTTCAAGAGTTCGTATGAGCAAGACCTGTATGTATTTTGATTGACACACTTTCGTAGGATATACAAATATAGCAGTTACACGAGGATCACTTTCTAATAACCGAAGGAGAGGAACCTTCAGGTTAGAGGAATATCAGAACAAAGTGCCAGTGCGATAATGAAGCATGTAGATTCTTACCTGGTAGATAACACTTTTACCAGACGCTGTGCTAGTAGAAACAATTACGTCCTTGCCATAGTCTAGGGCACTGATTGCTGCTGTTTGGTGGATGTACAGAGATGTGATGTTCCTAGAGCTTTGTAGAGCTTTTTGTATGGTAGCGGATAACGGTGGGTCCAAAGATCCTGAGCATACAGTATCACTGATAAAATTTGCGTCATTGAAAGACGTACAAACGAACCTGTCTGGCCTTCTCGAGCTTCAATTATCCTATGATCAACAATCTGATCTTGATACCAGTGCTGCTTCTGAAGCTCGACGAAGATGTCATGTATTGATGCACGATCTTCTGAGTCTGGAATGGGCATATGCATCGTCTCGTCTACAAATGTATGGTGTTTGATATGTTCCGGATCAACAGGTATATGTTCACGAGCTGCAGCTTGTAAAAGGGAGACTGGATCGTCAGCGGATGATGTTGCTGCTAGTAATCTGTTAATCTCAGCGCAGTTCGGTTCTTCACGAGAAGCATGATCTACGTACTCATCTACTGCTTTAATGAACCTGTCGTTCCTCTTTTCCACAAGCTTCTTCGTAGCAGCTGGTGTTCGTGTCGCGGGTAAAAAAAATTCATTTGAGCTTGCTCTGTCGAGATGTGTCCACATATTCGAAATAAGACTAGCACTCGAAGCAAACAACTCACTTGCTCCCCCCTGAAGTCCCTTTCCAGCTCTCCGCAAACTCTAGGAGAAGCACATGTTCTGGTTCTTTGGTTAGTCCAAGCCTTGACTCTTTTGAAGTCGAAAACGCGGAGAAATCAGGCTCATCATTGGACTTGGCGGAAACATTGACTTGGATTTGATTGCGAGGGACGTAGGCGAACGTGATGATCTCAGGTAGCAGTGCTCTAGCTCAGAAAGGTCAACGATTTTGCATCTATGGAGCAAAGGACATTCATGTACTTCAGCTCTGCTACTTGAGACATTTCCAAGGGCCTTTCAACCGAGTGAGTCTGAGGATGGAACGCGTGAAAATGGGACTTACTGCTTAGTGACATTCTCTACTGAGGACCGGATAGATGGAAATGTTGTTGCAAGCTGTTTTCTTGACGTGACGAAAGCAAGTACAGTATTTAGAGCCTGAAGACGCGTCCAATTGTGTTCTTCTGTATTTAGATCACGAGTGTAAAAGCATACCTTGTACACCTGACATTATCTCCAATTAGATTATGCCCTAGGTACACGGTACTGAGCGCGTTTTACCTTAAATAGCTACAATACGGTGGTCAGTTGGACGCGCTAGCAGCCACATTAGAGGCTTACCGAGTGAAAATATTGAGGCCAATGATCGTAGCTTCGCTCTTTCTCTTTTCCTTTTGCCTTCGTAGTTCTGGTTTTCTTGATCCTGACTTCCTCTGCATCATCGAGAGCACGTTTCACGATCTCCTTGCGTGAACTTGAGCCAGGATTCCCGCTAACCATGAGGGTGAAGAGTAGATTAGCTCAGTGTAAGTTCCGAGTTACCGAATTTCCGTCGACCAGGAGTCTCACGGTCTAATAGTGTAGAGGTTATCACATGGGATTTTGATGCTATATAACTTCCCATAACCCAGGTTCGAGTCCTGCTTGGACCTCTGAGTGGTTTGGGATTTGATCTTTCTTTTTATTTCATTCGGACGCCTGTTTAAATTTGCACCAGGTAGTCTCTTCATTCACCCAGAATGTTCAGAGCTTGTCTCGCTCAAAGTCGGTATTCTTATACTGCATCTGATTTCCTGAATAGCTCACGCGTCCCCCTCCGTTTAGCTTCTCGAAATTTCGCGTCTCCGAGCACCTCTTACCTCATTCATACCTCCGCTGTCCTGAACGCATCCAAAACTCAAAAACTCACAAGCAAAGCCAAGGCCGAGATTAAAGCAGAAAAATGGCGACGTACCAACGCTAATCGACCTAGTCCTGTATTTGGCACGCGAAAAGGCGAAGAAGGCACATGGGACAATTGTTATTTGGCCAAAATACTCGTTAACGAGGCTGAATTGGCTGCTCCTCCGAAAATGATTCCCATAAAACTTCCTGTCGGCACTGTAAACTTGCCTTCGCAGATGGGCTTCGGTGTGACGGAAACGGACGCAGAGAAACTTTTCCGCCAACTGCCCGAGCTATCTATGAATTCAAGAAGGTTCGATGACAAGAATCCCCAAATGCAGTCTTTTGAGCAGTGGGCGACTAAGGTGCTGGACAAGGAGCATAGGAAGGCAAATACGTTTGCACAGGTCATTGATTTGAGGAATGCGGATGCGGATGGAATTTCCTATGAAAACAAACGGAGGATCATTGTGGCCTTTTCTACTAAGGAGAATCCGTTCGACCCTGGTCGTACTGAGGTTCAAGGTGTGTTATTCGGTATCATAAAGTCGGAACTACGCTAATGCATATCATATCCATTTGCAGCTGCCATTCTCACTTACAGGATCCGAAATCTTGGAAACCATTTAGCAAAGTTCCCCAGAGATTTAGGCAATCGTCTCGGATTAAGAAAGTTGGTACATCACAGGGCAAAGATACTGAGGTATCTAAGGCGGAAGAGTAACGAACGCTACGAAACTGTCTTAGAGCAGCTTGGTCTGAAGCGGGAGAGCGTAGAGGGAGAATTAATTGTCTAGAGTTATTGATAGTGGCATGATAATTTTGTCACTTCCGTTGAGAGCGTGTTATTAGTTGAAGCACATACAGTACGGGATAATATTACAAACGACAGTCCAACCTACGCAGCCTTCTTAGCTTCCTTTCTCGCGGCAGTTTTATCCCGGTCTCTCTTCTGGAATAGTTTATGCCTACTCGCAGCACCCGCAGCCGATTTCGCCAATGTCTTGTTCATCGACTTATTCTGCTCGATATACGACATATGTTGCGCCCCACTCAAAGATGTCAATGAGCTCGTCATTCTCTGTGCCCCAGGGAACCTCGAAGGTTGACCGAAGTCCTTCGATGTTATCGTCCCGGCCAAATCGCCCTCAGACGCGCGCACGTCCGAACCAGGTTCCGCGTCAGCCTCATTGGCGATGAGTACTGATTGCAAAAGCTCAATTTGTTCTTCCCGAGTTCGATAGACGAGGCCGGGGAAATCTTTTTGCCCGTCGAGACTTGTGATAACTTTAAACGCGTATCCTTGATCGATGAGGAATTGTTGGCGTTTGGTAGAGTAGAACATCTCTTGGGTGTCTTTGGATACGAGAGAGTAGAAGAAGGCGTTGAAACCTTCATCATTTCGACGTTTGGCTCGAAGGATACGCCCTAGACGTTGGGCTTCCTGTCGTCGAGAACCAAAGTGGGACGAAATTTGGATGAGGCACGTCGCTTCTGGTAAGTCGATAGAGGTATCTCCGACCTGGCCAAATTCAGCAAAGTTAACTTTCAGCGACAGAAGGTCGAAATTCTACCTTTGATAAAAATATTGTGCTGACGGCTGGATCGTGCTGGAAGTGCTGTAAAACTCGCATGCGTTCCGTCTGCCCTGTACCTCCGTGGATGTAAGGTTTTCCCAACTTTTTCGCATATGCCTACATCGAAGGGGTGGATCGTCAGTAAATCTCGAACGCTGTACTAAAAACCAACACACCTCCAAAGCAAACACGTTATCCGAAAAAACAATGATCTTATCCCCTCGTTCTTCGTGGTAGTTGATTAGGTATTGACATGCTTGAAATTTATTTGGGTTCATGCAGTACAGTAAGGCACGTTTCCGAGACTGTTCGCGCAGATATTCGTGGTAGAATTCCGGCGTCATACTACACCAAACCTCGGCGCACTGGAAAGGGTAAGATAGACCACCATCGAGATTTAATCGGACTATACCTGGACGTTCGCAATGTGGCCTTTGGCAGCAAGATCCCTGATAAGTAGATTGAGAGAAAGTAGCAGATTGGAGTAGATCAACCATACATCCAATTTGCTTCGTAAAGCTTAGGCCCGATCATATAGTTCAAATCCGCAATTTTGTCATCTTCACGAACCAATGTCGCTTTAAAGGACGACTCGTCAGAACCTTACCGGAAATATGTCCCATACGACTCACCCGTGAGCCCAAGCTTCGAATGCGCCTTGATAGTAGTCACCACTCGACGGAACATCGCCGCAGGGACGACATGCACCTCGTCCAAGAGCAAGAACCCCCATTCTCTCGATGTCAAAAACTCCATCATCTTCTTTGACTCGTGGGATCGGTTGTGGGTGTTAGCTACCATGGAGTATGTGGAGACGACGATACCACTTTCGCCCGCGAATTTCTCTTTTTGGTCGGCGGTGAAGACAGCTACTTGGCGGTCGGTGATGTTAGACCATTGCAGGAACTGAGCTCTCCATTGGTAGACGGAGACACTAGGGAGAGAAAATTGATGACGTACGGCGTATAGAGAAAGACTAATGGCCTTACGATGAGGTACAGAGTACTAGACATGATTTCTTGATTGTGCATGCGGCGGTAATCCCGACCAAGGTCTTTCCCGCACCGCATGGAAGGACGATAATTCCAGAACGAGCACGACTGTTGATATGATGTTACCAAGGATGGACTACACAAGGAAGAAGATATGTCGTACCCATTTCCAAACATTTTGCTCAGACTGGTCTCCTGATATGGTCGAATAACAGTGGCGGGTTTCAGGTCGATGTCTAAATTGGCATTGATGGTATCGTTTCTGAAGTCGTATTCTTCTAACATGGGACTGTTGAGCTCGTTACACCTCTTCTTGACGTCCTGTAAAGCGTGTTGACTATATACACTCCATTTCAGGCGGATGGACGTACGTCAATTTTGGCGTCATTAATCTCAAATGAGTGTACGTTATCATCGTCCTCGTCAATTTCATCTAAAGACGTTCGTTAGCGAAGTTTGAACAACCAAGAAGAGGCAACGCACCTCCTTCGACACCAACAACTGAAGTGAAGAGATCCGCATTATCACGTTTCCCTTTGGCTACACCGTCGTTACTCTTGTCAACCTCTTTGTTCGTCCCTGGAATTACCAGGTTGCCTTTCACTGGGGCCTTGGACGTGGTGAAGGTATTACCCTTGATACTATTGTCTGTCTGAACGGATATTACACGCGCGTCCTGGATCACAGCATCGCGCAGCAGCTTTTGTAGAATGTCCGGATGACCAGACTCAACAAAGTACTTGTTATGTTTTAGGACAAGCTTGACTTTGCCATATGTCTCAGTGCATTTCCGTATATGTGATATGATGGGGTCGGGAACAGGGACCTTGCCAAACGATTCGAACAAAATCAAACACAATTTCGCGAGCATTGCATACCTTAGACAGACGGTTGAGAACCTTAGTGACATACGTTAGCACATGAGTGAGCAGAGTGCGAAAGCACACGGACTTCAATTATATCTTCCGTTTGGAGGCCAACGGATACGGCGGCGTACAGAGAGTAAGAGGTAAGTTTGTACTCATGAATAAAGGCCGGTCTGCGATATAGGGAATATGTACCTAGAGAAAGAGCGGCAATTCAAGATCAAAACGCACCTACTGACAGGTTCGCTAATCGCTGTCAGGAAATCTTGGGCTTGTTCAGCAATGGGAGAAAAGGCTTCGAGGATGATGAGACCGTCATCTGGACTAATCCAGAGTGGGCGAGAAGCATGGTCGGGTTTAAGGTGCATGAAAGAGAAATCTTGGTCCATGAAAATGTGCGAGACAAGATTGCTTTGCTGCAGTCGATGAATCTCTAATGGCGACTTATCCGATGTTGCGAAGTCTTCTGCACGTTTTGCTTCTGCTAGCTTGCGTGTGAGAGCGCTGAAGTTAATCGTGGCATTTCGAGGGATGAGGGAATTATCGTCGGGTGGTGAAGGAGGTATTACATCGTCTTCGTCTTGAATTTCGAAATATTCATCCCGATTTGCGGCTCTCTTTGGCCGTTTTGAAGGTTGAGAGCGCGAGGACCCTGAACAAAATTTGGTGGAGAACATTTATATAAGAGGTTGGCGCAACGTACCTTCAGCAGGCCGTTTGTACGACATGATAAGAGAGATGAAGGTCCTTTATGGACGATCTTACTCATCGAAGTGACCTTATACTCGTGGCACGTGAAAGAAATTGTCACGTAGTCACAGTCGTCACCGTGACGCGACGGACGTTTGTTGTTCATCCACTCCCAAGGTTACTGCTTCGGTGAAGTGATACTCTCCGGCTTCATGATGATTCCAATGTCCAACACGAGCACCTATGAGCGCTTCAGACAGGGTCAGGCCCAGAGGCGCTCCATCGTCCGCTCTAATTCATCTTTGCTGGGGAGCATCAAAAATTTTGTGGCCGCGCCATTCGCCAGACTTTTTTCCGGAACCGCCAATGACTTCAACGACCCGAGCGATCTATCTGGGAAGCGAAGGCTGGTCTACAATCAGGATGTCAATAACAATGACATTGTTGAGGACGGACCCGCTCCTGCCAAGCGTATGCGAGTCCAAAGTCCGGAGCCGCCTTCATCACCACGCTCTGCTGGTTACCTTGATCCACCTGGCTCTGCTTTCCATCTTAATAGTAACTTATCCAATAATGCTCCCAGTCGTTCCGCATCGATATCTTTGCCATTCACTACCTTACCAGATTCTACTGTCCATAATGC